GAGGTATTTATTTAATCTCACTACTGTACAAGAGGGTATTTCTTTAATCCCTCTACTGTACAGGAGGGTATTTATTTAATCCCTCTACTGTACAGGAGGGTATTTATTTAATCCCTCTACTGTACAGGAGGGTATTTATATAATCCCTCTACTGTACAGGAGGGTATTTATCTACTGTACAGGAGGGTATTTATATAATCCCTCTATTGTACAGGAGGGCTTTATTTAATCCCTCTACTGTACAGGAGGGTATTTATATAATCCCTCTACTGTACAGGAGGGCATTTATTTAATCCTTCTGCTGTACAGAAGGGTATTTATTTAATCCTTCTACTGTACAGGAGGGTATTTCTTTAATCCCTCTACTGTACAGGAGGGTATTTATTTAATCCCTCTACTGTACAGGAGGGTATTTATTTAATCCCTCTACTATACAGGAGGGTATTTATTTAATCCCTCTACTGTACAGGAGGGTATTTATTTAATCCCTCTACTATACAGGAGGGTATTTATTTAATCCCTCTACTGTATTTCTTTAATCCCTCTACTGTACAGGAGGGTATTTATTTAATCCCTCTACTTTACAGGAGGGTATTTATTTAATCCTTCTACTGTACAGGAGGGTATTTATTTAATCCCTCTACTGTACAGGAGGGTATTTATTCCCTCTACTGTACAGGAGGGTCCCTCTACTGTACAGGAGGGTATTTATTTAATCCCTCTACTGTACAGGAGGATATTCATATAATCCCTCTACTGTACAGGAGGGCATTTATTTAATCCCTCTATTGTACAGGAGGGTATTTATTTAATCCCTCTACTGTACAGGAGGGTATTTATATAATCCCTCTACTGTACAGGAGGGCATTTATTTAATCCCTCTACTGTACAGGAGGGTATTTATATAATCCCTCTACTGTACAGGAGGGTATTTATTTAATCCTTCTACTGTACAGGAGGGTATTTATTTAATCCCTCTACTGTACAGGAGGGTATTTATTTAATCCCTCTACTGTACAGAAGGGCATTTATTTAATCCCTCTACTATTTATTTAATCCACTACTGTACAAGGAGGGTATTTATTAATCCCTTTAATCTCACTACTGCACAAGAGGGTATTTCTTTAATCCCTCTACTGTACAGGAGGGTATTTATATAATCCCTCTATTGTACAGGAGGGCTTTATTTAATCCCTCTACTGTACAGGAGGGTATTTATATAATCCATCTACTGTACAGGAGGGTATTTATTTAATCCCTCTACTGTACAGGAGGGTATTCATATAATCCCTCTACTGTACACGAGGGCATTTATTTAATCCCTCTATTGTACAGGAGGTATTTATTTAATCTCACTACTGTACAAGAGGGTATTTCTTTAATCCCTCTACACAGAGGGTATTTATTTAATCCCTCTACTGTACAGGAGGGTATTTATTGTACAGGATCTGTACAGGAGGGTATTTTAATCCCTCTACTGTACAGGAGGGTATTTATTTAATCCCTCTACTGTACAGGAGGGTATTTATATAATCCCTCTACTGTACAGGAGGGCATTTATTTAATCCCTCTACTGTACAGGAGGGTATTTATTTAATCTCACTACTGTACTGTACAGGAGGGTATTTATTTAATCCCTGTACTGTACAAAAGGGTATTTCTTTAATCCCTCTACTGTACAGGAGGGTATTTATTTAATCCATCTACTGTACAGGAGGGTATTTACTGTACAGGAGGGTATTTATTTAATCCCTCTACTGTACACAGGAGGGTATTTATTTAATCCCTCTACTGTACAGGAGGGTATTTATATAATCCCTCTACTGTACAGGAGGGAATTTATATAATCCCTCTACTGTACAGGAGGGCATTTATTTAATCCCTCTACTGTACAGGAGGGTATTTATATTCTACTGTACAGGAGGGTATTTATATAATCCCTCTATTGTACAGGAGGGCATTTATTTAATCCCTCTACTGTACAGGAGGGTATTTATATAATCCCTCTACTGTACAGGAGGGCATTTATTTAATCCCTCTACTGTACAGGAGGGTATTTATATAATCCCTCTACTGTACAGGAGGGCATTTATTTAATCCCTCTACTGTACAGGAGGGTATTTATATAATCCCTCTACTGTACAGGAGGGCATTTATTTAATCCCTCTACTGTACAGGAGGGTATTTATATAATCCCTCTACTGTACAGGAGGGCATTTATTTAATCCCTCTACTGTACAGGAGGGTATTTATATAATCCCTCTACTGTACAGGAGGGCATTTATTTAATCCCTCTACTGTACAGGAGGGTATTTATTTAATCCCTCTACTACTGTACACTGTACAGGAGGGTATTTATTAATCCCTCTACTGTATCCCTCTACTGTACAGGAGGGTATTTATTTAATCCCTCTACTGTACAGGAGGGTATTTATTTAATCCCTCTACTGTACAGGAGGGTATTAATATTTAAATCCCTCTACTGTACATGAGGGTATTTATTTAATCCCTCTACTGTACAGGAGGGTATTTCTTTAATCCCTCTACTGTACAGAAGGGTATTTATTTAACCCCTCTACTGTACAGGAGGGTATTTATTGAATCCCTGTACTGTAGAAGAGGGTATTTCTTTAATCCCTCTACTGTACAGGAGGTATTTATTTAATCTCACTACTGTACAAGAGGGTATTTCTTTAATCCCTCTACTGTACAGGAGGTATTTATTTAATCCCTCTACTGTACAGGAGGGTATTTCTTTAATCCCTCTACTGTACAGGAGGTATTTATTTCATTTCACTACTGTACAAGAGGGTATTTCTTTAATCCCTCTACTGTACAGGAAGGTATTTATTTAATCCATCTACTGTACAAGAGGGTATTTCTTTAATCCCTGTACTGTACAGGAGGGTATTTCTTTAATCCCTCTACTGTACAGGAGGGTAGTTAATCCCTCTACTGTACAGGAGGTATTTATTCAATCCCTCTACTGTACAGGAGGGTATTTCTTAAATCCCTCTACTGTACAGGAGGGTATTTATTTAATCCCTCTACTGTACAGGAGGGTATTTATTTAATCCTTCTACTGTACAGGAGGGTATTTATTTAATCCCTCTACTGTACAAGAGGGTATTTATTTAATCCATCTACTGTACAGGAGGTATTTATTTAATCTCACTACTGTACAAGAGGGTATTTCTTTAATCCCTATACTGTACAGGAGGTATTTATTTAATCTCACTACTGTACAAGAGGGTAATATTTATTTAATCCCTCTACTGTACAGGAGGTATTTATTTAATCTCACTACTGTACAAGAGGTTATTTCTTTAATCCCTCTACTGTACAGGAGGGTATTTATTCAATCCCTCTACTGTACAGGAGGGTATTTCTTAAATCCCTGTACTGTACAGGAGGGTATTTATTTAATCCCTCTACTGTAAAGGAGGGTATTTATTTAATCCCTCTACTGTACAGGAGGGTATTTATTTAATCCCTCTACTGTACAGGAAGGTATTTATTTAATCCATCTACTGTACAAGAGGGTATTTCTTTAATCCCTGTACTGTACAAGAGGGTATTTCTTTAATCCCTCTACCGTACAGGAGGTATTTATCTAATCCCTCTACTGTACAGGAGGTATTTATTCAATCCCTCTACTGTACAGGAGGGTATTTCTTAAATCCCTCTACTGTACAGGAGGGTACTTATATAATCCCTCTACTGTACAAGAGGGTATTTATTTAATCCATCTACTGTACAAGAGGGTATTTATTTAATCCATCTACTGTACAGGAGGGTATTTATTTAATCCCTCTACTGTACAGGAGGGTATTTATATAATCCCTCTACTGTACAGGAGGATATTTATTTAAATCTACACTTCACACATAGTTTTTGATCATCTCTACAGAAGATATTAATATATTATACTTAAATTGATAAACTTGCTGTAACTACATCAGTTAAAGTCCAGTGATGATCAAAATTTCTAAAATTACAACAAACTTCAAATTCTCAACTCTTCCTCAATTACAAACAATAACCATGCCACCAGATAAAAATACAAGCTTGTGAAGTCAAGTTGTTGTAGGTTAGAGTCATAAAAATCATTTTGACAGACAGTGGAGATTTCCCAGCTCATGTTTTAAGATCATTAAAGGAAAAAGAAAGGAGACAAGGTTACACTCATTTCCATCCAGACATTAAGATTTGGTTTTACTCTTTGAAACACTTCATATTTATAATCTCAATCACAATCTTAATATCTTGCTTTTGTTTGAACTTTTGTGATCATTTTAATGTTTATTTACATAGCACATTGGTTGTTGAGAGGGGAATATGATGCCGTGCTACAATCAGAAACGTCTCTGATGTCACATGATATCTAAACAAAGCTAATGACGAAGTGGCTAAAAAGTCCTTAATTCTCCAGGGATCTCTTTCACTCTGTGCTCCCCAGGAACATGTCATGACAAAACCGAAGGTTCCATGTGGACACCTTGTGGACAAGACTAAAGAGACTAGCTTGATCCAAGGTCGCTATATGTTGTTATGGCTTTGAAATTTGTTGGTTCCTTCAATTTTTTTTCATGACATGTTCCAGGGGTGCAAAGAGTGCAAGTGATCGTAAACCCATGGAGTATCAAGGATGTGGCTAAAAATGTTTCGATATATTCTCTGACTTTTCCCTTACTTATCTTGCTTAGACGTGAATGAGTGGTATACACTTAGAATGAAATCAATAATTTGTGTATTGTACATCTGCATATTTCAGTGGCTATCATATTTTTGCTGAAAATCTTGTGCTAAAGTATGATTGCACTAAATGGAGTTTCTGAAATTGTCTATATAGCAATAATCATGAATGTGTTAATTAATCATTTTCCTAATTTGTCAAAAAAAATTACAATTGTGCAACAATTTGATTGTGTAAAATTAAGGTAATTCACATCATACACTCAATACAAAGACAATAACAACACAACAGCTTGTGTATTTACCTGCGGCCAGTGCCGGCCTTCACCGCATCTTTGTTGAAATTTGTGTTCGCCAGTGAGAAGTCCTCTGCATTGGCACAGAGTAATTTTGGGAATACAGACTGTCGTTCATACCGTTCGATATCGTCATAAGTGTTGCCATACATAAATCCATTCATCAGAGTAGAGTGGGCATGTATGTCTATATAGAAGTCCACTATCACTTTCTGTAACAAATTTGATTCTGGTTGATTCTGGAAATTAAGGCCTATGAAAATAGTAACACTACTAAATTGGTAATTAGTATAGTAAGACATACATGTATTGACTAAATAAACCTATCTATTGTATAACTAGAGATGTGGATAGATGTACAGACTTTGCACAACCATCTAGGCATGCTTTAATTTGCACAAGCTAATGACTACTATTTCTTTTAGAAAAATCTTTCAGCCCTTAAATTCCATGTCATATTCTCAGATAAGAGATATTTTCTCTTTGGTGAAAGATTATCAAGAAAATTTCCATACCTCATTTCTGTCAAGCTCCATGAGAATATTTTTTGTGGCATACAAGGTGGGATGTGCCCATGGTGAAGGTTCTAGCCAGTGTCTGTTCAGGTCAAACCCCATCAACGAGCACCTAATCAATGTTAACTCCAAATATTACACAAACTATATTTGTGTGTGTATACTAGTACAAAAGTGTAAACTTCTCATAGCCAGGTTATATGTTATGTGGCAATACTTTGAATCAAAAATGTATTCAAGCAGATTTAATAAATCTTGGTAAGATAACAAGTTGTTCTAAACATTGTACCAATATAGTAGACACTAAAGTAATAGTCAAGGGGCAACTTCACTAGCATATATCTTTAATATTACCCATAGCTGACCCGTCCCATTCCATCACATCCCATCACATCCCATTCAATTCCATCCCTGTCCCTGCTACATCCCATTCCATCTCATTCACGCCTCATCACATCCCCATCCGGTCCCACCCATCCCATCCGTGTACTGTCCAATCCTAACACCATCCCATCACAAATCAGTGTCACACTCTACTGACAATAAAAGAGGTTTCCTGGTTCCCAGATAACCATGTGCTATTTACAGGGCTTTTTCAACCTGATTCAGCAGCAATATTATACCCATCACTTATATGTATCACCATCACAGAAACATTATTTTTTCTTCAATATTATCACAACATATTTTTTTTTTAAATCTTGCAGACATTTCAATTTCAACAATCAATTTAAGTAACTGCAAGCATCTATTCAACAAGGTGAAAAATTTACTGCCTCTCATGGGAAAATTATCAAAATTTATACTATTATACTAACCTGTAATTTCCAAGGTACACACCATCTGGATTCAACATGGGGACTATTTTAAACACAATGTGTTCTCGTAAGACCTTCGCTATTGGATGATTACTAATCAAAAAGTCAATCAACCCTGAAAAATAACACAAGGTTAATTAGTTTCTGAAAATAAAACTTAAAATAGAAAATCAAATGGTTAAACCTGGTACCAGACTTAGATCAATACGTACAAACTCACAAAGGAAGTACACACTCAAAAGTCACTTAATCTTACATCAATACATACTCCATAGGGACTCAGTCTCCTGTCAACATGTACAAACTCATAGGGAGTACACACTCAAAAGGAACTCAATATTAGATCAATATACATTCCAAAAAAGACTCAATTTTATTTTAGATCAATACACACCCATAAAGGACTCTATCTTATTTTAGATCAATACTCACTGAAAAAAGGGACTCAATCTTTAATCAATACAAACTCATAAAGGACTCAACATTAGACACCTGAACACTCTAAAAGGACTCAATCTTAAATCATTACAGACACCTCAAAGGACTCAATATTAGATCAACACCAACTCACAAAGGACTCCATATTAGATAAGCACAGACTCAAAAAGACCTCAATTTGACATCAATACAGACTTCAATAAGAGGCCCATAGGGCCTATATCGCTCATCTGGATCTTAAAGCCCAGCAATGGTGTACATGCCTATAAGCAGTGCCATACCCACGGGTCATTTCTTACATCATAAATGTGTTTATCTCTTGATCCTTAGCAATTCTATATATGGTTATGGGGTAAGGATTTCAACTGTTTGAAAGATACAACCTAAAACATTTTAAGTCCAGAGGACCAAATTCATGGGCCAGTTCTTACATCATGAATGTGTTTATCTCTTAATGCCCAGCAATGCTATACTGTATATGGTTTAGGGGTGGGGATCTTAAATGTTTCCAAGATATTAAAAAGCAACGGAGTCCCAAGGAGTGGGGTCGAGACCCACTGTTGATACAAAAACTGATTTCCCTTCACCCAAGCATGCTTAAACCAAATGTGAACAATATTCTCTAAGTCCTGAAGAACATAATAGATTTTAAAGAAATTGATAGATTTTCCCTATTTGGCCCCGCCCCTCTGATCCCAAGGGGCCCCAAAGATCCACCATTCACCAAAAAATGATTTCCAATGGCCCAAGCATGTTTCAAACCAAAATTTAGGCAATACCCTGCAATTCCTGAAGAACACGATAGATTTTAAAAAATTGAAAAGATTTTCACTATTGGGCCCTGCCCCTCAGTCTTAGGTCAATACAGACTCACAAAGGATTCAATTTCAATACTGTAGTGCTCATTTAAGATCAGTGATTTTCGCCCATAGCCATTAAAGCGCTAAACATATATGATTGCTAAAATTTCTATGATGCCTGAAACAGATCAACATAAATTGGAAACTGGAAACACAATTAACACAAAGAATTTGTACAACAGTCCACTAACACAATATCTTATGGCTGGGACAGTCTGTTGTTTTCACAACACATCTAACATCCCTGTAGTCTCCAACGACTTATTAGGAGCTGTTTGTTTTGTGTGATGGCGTCATGGACTCTCACAAACCACACAGCGCTGCAGCGTGAATAAGCACGAGATGTTTTGTGTACTTATAAACATAAGTCTGCATACTACTACCTGTGAGTTGTAATCATTTATTCTGTATCTATGTTGACACATACCAAAAAAGACCAGTGAACCGTACTCGTAACTCTGTTCACCAGTTCTGCCTGCCGAGATTACGCTATAAATAGAACGGGACTTCCCCACTTGCACAACTTCAAAATTTATATCGCTCTTAACAAGCGCTAAATTTAAACTGCACAAAAAGGTACCATGACTGCAGAGCACTAAATATTGACTGCATCATATCAAATCGTTTTACAGTATTAGGTAAGCACAAACTCACAAAGGTAGATAAGTGAGGACTAATAAAAGGGCTCAAATTAGTCAGATTAGAAAAATCTGCTACCAGTATGTCTTAGAGATCAATTTATCTCTGTCAAGTACTAACATATTATATCAAAATCTTATTGAAGGTAATGTGTAGAAAGAGGTTACAGAATGTCAGTCTCAGACTGAAGTAATACAACAATATATAGTATATATTTATTTCATAGTAAAGGAAATGTTTTACATGTAACATACAGATACACACTTCCAGCCTCTGAAATCAGACATCATATGCAAGTACCTATATCAGTACAAGGTTTCACGACACAATCAAATACTCTATCTAAAGAATCTGGATTGGTCCACTTAATAATAATGACCCATTTTTGGGACTTCCTGTTCTAATGGTTATATCTATAACCACTTAAAAGTACTTCATCTTTAATGGTCATGGGGGCTAACACTGACATAACTGTCAAGGGAGCTACCATTGACATACTCCGCCAGGGAGCTAACACTGACATAATTGTCAAGGGAGCTACCATTGACATACTCCGCCAGGGAGCTAACACTGACATAACTGTCAAGGGAGCTACCATTGACAAACCCGGCCAGGGAGCTAACACTGACATAACTGTCAAGGGAGCTACCATTGACAAACCCAGCCAGGGAGCTAACACTGACATTACTGTCACGGGAGCTACCATTGACATAACCGGCCAGGGAGCTAACATTGACATACCTAACCAGGGAGCTAACACTGACATAACTGTCAAGGGAGCTGCCATTGACGTAACTCGACCAGATAACATGACATGCCCTTATGACAAAAGAGGAAGGTGTTTTCCAAGGATAGGGACACTAATAATGACATACCCTGACAGAAAAAAAGGATGTTTCTACTGGGTAGGAACACTAACAGTGACATACCCTGACAGACAAAAGTGGAAATTGTTTCTACTGGGTAGGAACACTATCAGTGACATACCCTGACAGACAAAAGTGGAAATTGTTTCTAATGGGTAGGAACACTAACAGTGACATACCCTGACAGACAAAAGTGGAAATTGTTTCTACTGGGTAGGGACACTAACAGTGACATACCCTGACAGACAAAAGAGGAAGGTGTTTCCCCTGGGTGAACCCTTGCAGTGATAAACACAGTATGTCTGACTTCATCCATCTCCAGGTTATCAGGATGTGTGATGGTTATCATATCCAGGCGTCGCTGTTGCTGTAAATATAACACATTACCATAGCAATAACTATTTTATAGACTCTTTTTTAATCCTGCAACAGTCTGGTTATTCACAGTCAAACACCACTTATAAGCTTTTCTTTTTGTTCTTTTTAGCAAATAAATTTAGAAATGCCAAACACATTGTATCTAAAACTATTGTTCCAGCAAAGTATTTTTCACTGAAGATCAATGAAATGTCAATTCATTTAGCCGTTATATGTTTTATCTTATGATTAATCACCTTGTGAAATAAATGATGTTTTGACATCATTAACGATACTTAGTTCCACCTTACTTACAACTGTGAGACAAAGCAGTTCCCTCGAGAAGAAGTCCATGTTCTTCTTCTCCAAGTTGTCGAGGTAATTCTGTAGACGAGTGTAGGAGTATGGATAGCAGTAGGCAAACTGATACACATCATCCTCACGATCAAAACAAAAGGAAAAGGACATCACATAGTTTTTCCTGTGATCTGGACACCGGTAATAGTATACATGCTTGGCTGGTATTCTCACCCTTCAAAAAAACACCACAAACCATAAGTAAACAAGCATCACTTTTAAATGTCATACGCCATTATTTTAAGTATACTTAAGGTCGATGATAAGAAGTCTGAATGAAGCTACTAGGTGAAGCTTACACTAATAGGATCATCAAATTTCAAAAACTAGTTGGCAACTTTATAAGACAAAGAGTCTTGCTGTTACGATTAACAATTTTCAGTCTAGTCAGCTTTAGGTGGGACATCTGACAGGATTACCTAAGGAAGTGAAATATCATACAAACATTGTTACTGGTCATTCAAACAAAGCACTGAAGTTGAATCACATATAAAACATGTCATTCTGGCTAACCATTTAGCACCTTGTCTTCTGGAAAGTGTATAGTCTGACCAACTGCATACATATTCAAATTCATTATACCAGATACAGTTGAATAAAACACTATTTTTTTTCTCAAACAAATGTCTAAATATTACATAAAACTCCGCCACATATTTAGATACCTTACCATATATACATGTCTATATATCATACCAACTAAGACACATGCCTAAACACCTTACTAACTCAGACATGTTTTGACATCTTAGCAACTGAGATACATGTCTAAATACCTCAACAAATAAGACACATGTCTAGATACCTAACAAACTCATACATGTGTCTAAATATCTTACCAACTCATACATGTGTACCAGACATGTGTTTAAATACCTAAGACTTACCATTTTGGTCGACTGGTTGACTTAACCATGGGTGACATACCATCTCTGTATAGTGATTTAGTTTTACTGAAGTTGACAATGTTAAAGATGACTCGCTGAAAATGAATATTGAAAACATGAAAATTATTAGAGAATATCAATTCAGTAGTGAAAAACTGCCGCATTACAACTTTACACTATCAACTCTTTTCACTAATAATCTTTCAAATCCTCTTTTTCACTGATATCAATATTTATTTTCAAATGTTTTCTTGAAATAAGTATTTGCACAATTTCCACAATGACAAGACATTTTGTTTGCAACAAGTTTTATCTTATTTTGGTACTATATCAAGTAGAATAGCGTATCCTTACTTAACCATCAGCAATTAAAGTGAGCATTAAGTAGATGGATAATGTGATAAAGATATGTAAATGTATAATCAAATTCTTGTTTAGTATCATTTTTTGGTTTATAGGTTCATAACTATTCCCAGTCATAGAAACTAGATATAAGAATTATTTCATTACATAAATTAACAAGAGATCTCAGAGGGATCTTGGCGCCCACCATTTGAGGATCTGTTTTCAGTTCTTGAAGATTTGTTTATTTTTTTTGTTTGTTACAGGTGTTGTAAATGTTCATGAACTGGTCTTCATTGAATGTACTCAATGATGGCACAAGATATTTTTATTAAGCACCTATTAACAAATATCATTTGAAAAAGATCCCAAAGTATTATTAGATAGCAGTCAGTTACAGGTGGATAATGGACAATATGCTTGTGCTGTATTACTGTCGACATCCAAGATGGCTGCCTGTGGGCCACCTTGATTTCAAATCAGTCCAAAAAAGGTACAATGCACAACTAGAGACCAAGGGAAACCAATATCTATGAAATATCAGAAGAATCCATCCAGTACTTCCTCAGATATAGCAGTAACAAGATTTTACTCTCAAAATCCAAGATGGCTGCCTGTCAGTCATCTTGATTTCGGATAAGTCCAAAAAGGTATAATGCACAACTAGGAAATAAAGGGAACCTGCATATGAAATTTGAGAAAGATCCATCCAGTACTTTCCAAGAAATAGCGGTAACAAACTTTTACTTCCAAAATTCAAGATGGCCACCTGTCGGCCATCTTGAATTCGAATCAGTCCAAAAAAGGTACAATGCACAACTAGGGACCAAGGGGAAACTGCACATGAAATTTGAGAAAGATCCATCCAGTACTTTCTCAGAAATAGCAGTAACAAACTTTTACTTCTAAAATGCAAGATGGCCACCTGTCGGCCATCTTGAATTCGAATCAGTCCAAAAAAGGTACAATGCACAACTAGGGACCAAGGGGAACCTGCATATGAAATTTGAGAAAGATCCATCCAGTACTTTCCAAGAAATAGCAGTAACAAACTTTTACATCCAAAATCCAAGATGGCCACCTGTCGGCCATCTTGAATTCGAATCAGTCCAAAAAAGGTACAATGCACAACTAGGGACCAAGGGGAAACTGCATATGAAATTTGAGAAAGATCCATCCAGTACTTTCTCAGAAATAGCAGTAACAAACTTTTACTTCTAAAATGCAAGATGGCCACCTGTCGGCCATCTTGAATTCGAATCAGTCCAAAAAAGGTACAATGCACAACTAGGGACCAAGGGGAACCTGCATATGAAATTTGAGAAAGATCCATCCAGTACTTTTCCAGAAATAGCGGTAACAAACTTTTACTTCCAAAATCCAAGATGGCCATCTGTCGGCCATCTTGTACGCGAATCAGTTCAAAAAAGGTACAATGCACAACTAGGAACCAAGGGGAACATGCATATGAAATTTGAGAAAGATCCATCCAGCACTTTTCCAGAAATAGCGGTAACAAACTTTTACTTCCAAAATCCAAGATGGCCATCTGTCGGCCATCTTGTACGCGAATCAGTTCAAAAAAGGTACAATGCACAACTAGGAACCAAGGGGAACATGCATATGAAATTTGAGAAAGATCCATCCAGTACTTTTCCAGAAATAGCGGTTACAAGAATTGTTTAACAACGGACGGAGGGACGGACCATGGACCACGGACACAGGGCGATTTGAATAACCCACCATCTATTAGATGGTGGGCTAACAATGAAAAACAATACAAATCCCCTTGTGGTCCAAACTTGACTGATGTACAATGAAAAGATGGTCAAGAGTGTGACATTAACAGAAACCCCCTCCAGGAATGAAGCCACTTAAGAGCCAACAAGGAGTTTCCAGCGAAAGTAACAATGATGTTGACCCTATAACCTTGAAAATGGAACTCATCTGAGACATTGTGCATATGAGAATTGATAACAAAAGTTCAAGGAATGTCCTTTATAAATGTGAAGGTTGAACAAAATTGTTCAAGGAACTTAAAAGTCACAAGAGAGTCCACATAGTCAGTTGATAGCATCCCTTTAATCTAACCCCTCCCCACCATCTTTTTACAATATACAATATCAGTTACTTATATTTAAGGCATGTGGGGCCAATATCCTACAGTGAACAGTAACCTAATAAGCAATGGCTCATATCTGGCTATAAATATAAACAGAAAGTAATAAGAATATCTACTTACCTGATCTGATTTGACATTTTCTACTGTAAAATTGAACCATACTCTGAACCTCGGATTACAAGTATCTGGTCTGATGAACAAATCATACTCGTATTCTGTAATGTAGTCAACACGTCCAAGATTTCCTGGAATGAAATATAATAGAAAATAAGCCAAACTTTCTAGAAGAAATGAAACATGAGTTGTTGATTTAAGTTTTTCACGCAATATAAATAAAGACAATTATCATTACCAAATTGTCATTGGCAGCCATCTTGAATGATTGATCGATCCAAACAAGTAACATGCATAGCTAGAATCAATACATACATTTAATTAGGGACCTTACAATAAATCTTCAACAAGATTTATTTTCGACATGAAATGTCAAAATTCAAAATAACTTCCTGTGATCAATCTACAGGTGAGTCCCAAGTCCTGTACTCATTGAATTTTCATGTGACTCACAGAATTTCTCAAAACAATTGAATTTTACATTGTGGGGTCCATTATTTTTATCAAGAAAGTTGAACAGGGCTCAGGGATATTGTAGATTGACCACAATGGCGTCAATATTGGGACAACCTTACAAAGTAATATGTTCATATAATTCACATAGAAGTAGTACTGTTGTCTGCATCTCCTGACTTGTATTGGTATATTTTTATCAATCTTTAAAATAGTACTTTTATTTCATGCACAAATAGGACCTATGTCCAGATTATAGAAATGAGGTATTGAAATCATTTTACTCCTCCTATAGATCAAAGTAGTTGGGGTAGGATGATCTCTCATTATGCAGGTACAAGTGGTCCAATAAATTATTCCAGCATTTTGTGAGTAATATCATGGATAAATTCTCTCATGACACAGCTAGTCAAAGTAGAATGTGCAATGTATTATGGTTCACAATGCATGCACTTTTGGGATAATTTCATACTGTCATTTGTACTGGACAGCCTTAGAAAGTTATCAAAATGTTATTGAAATATTGTAGGGGAATCAGTCAAAGTATTCTAATCAGAGTATAACATACAAATTCCATATATAGATGCCAGTTAACTCTGAGGATAACTTGTAGATACTTCCAGATATGTTTCCACATTTTATACCATTTTTTTTTTTAAAGTAAGAAGATTAATTTCAATTAAAAGGGTTGTCAGCTATGCTCTTCAAACTTTTTTCCTTTAATTGTGACACAATTATAAGTTTTCCATTGATGTATATTTTCTAGTAAGTTTTACTAATACACAGATGCATATCATTATTTAGCATTCCAGGGATAGCAGTCAAAGTTGGAAGGGTACAAGTGATCAAACCAGTATTTGTTTACATTGTGTTAAAACCTATTTACTGATTGTGGATGTAAAGACATTTTTCCTTGTAAATCGCTTATATTTTTGTATAAAATTATATAAATCTTCAGCTTCTAAATACACAGCAATGAAATTGAAATATCTATTTGTTATTTTGGTTAGCGAACTATTTGTGGAACGAATAAGTCTCTGATTTTACCACACTCAAAGCAAGCATCAAATATCAAGTGTCCTTTCTTAGGCCGACCACTGTAACCTGGTGGAACAACTGCAAACTTGTTGACATTTCCAACCACTGGTTCCTCTGTGCTGTCAGACTCGCTCCCTACAAAAACAGGAATCATGGTTATGTTTCACAAGACATCTGAACTGCAAATTTTCTTCGAACGAAATATGCATAAACTTCATTTAAATTCATGATAGACTGAGCATTTGACATGCCATCTTTATGGCTCTTTTGCTTCAACCTTTCTTAATTTATCGCATTAAACGTTATCACACTTTAAAGCAATTGTACTAATGAAATAACAAACAAACATTGTGGCAAATATAAGATATAATAAGGACGCCTTAAATACCAAATTGGTGGCATTTGTGGTAAAGAAATTATTTGCATTTTGGATGAAAAAAAGAAGTTTAAATTATATATGTGGTTAAAACTACATGCATCACACTCGAACAAATATTTTGAATCTAGCTTGCATCTGAACGAAAGCTATTTTATTTGTCATGGGGCCAGATTACACGACAGTGCAGTAATCCTGGGTCAATATGCACAAACGTCCCCTTATTACGATATCATTGATAGACCTATACACTTGATATTATTCGAACAACTAATATTATTATGATATTACATGATATGTGATATAATATTATATTTATGGACGCAGACTGGTAGTCCAAACACATTCACAGCTAAAATTATATCCATGTATTACTAACAATTGTATTGTACTAGAATCTTTTACAACGTTTAAAAAGTAACAATAATTGTATATTTCTTAAGTATCGCACGGTCAATGTTTAAGATATATATAGTTGATATGTCACAGAAAACATGACATTTCGGTTCTAAGCAACTGTAAACAAACCCGAGTCTACTTTCTTGTCGGCCATGTTTGATATCCCACAATGCCTCAAATAACAAATCGTGACGTCACACTGTTAAGCTAAGTACCTGTCAGACTCACGCGAAGAGACAATAATATTTAGGCAATTTTCTGATATGTTTCATCAAAGAGATATTATAACATCCCAAATTAAATACCACATACACAGGTTTGTTTTGTAATTCATTAACAGGAACCCTCCATAGGCCAATTTAATAAATTATTTGACAATCGTTCCCGCCACATGTTCCATACATTATCTGTAAATTATTCATACGCGACAAGAAATAATTCCATCTGAACATTATTTTTTATGGTAATACATAAGCGCATTGATTTGATAGGCTTTACAGTTACATATGTTAATGTTTTTGAACATTCTTAAGATGAGACATGCGCCTTAATTCAGTCTTTATTATAATTAGGTCATGACGTCGTTTTTAATTAAGTTTGATATATTCTTGCGTTTATTTTCGTTCTGCCACTGATGGTTGAGGATTAGGTTTGTGTTGTAGCGTCGGATATTTTCTGTTTATGATTTTATTGGGTTCTTGTGGATTTTTTAATCAATTGGAACAATAGATCTGCTACTCTACTAAGAAATCTAACTGAAATTTGTACAGGGTAACAGAAGTAGACAGTTTATGAAGGAATATCGCCATCACCTGATTCAGAAGCTGGGATATTACCGTTCCGTTTAGTATTTGTTTAATGTTTCAAGAAATAACGGTATTGTGTCAGGGCATACCATTTACGGGTTGAAAAGGTAAGTAAAGATTATTTAGATTAACTTGTGTTTAATAGTTTGGATTTTTCATTGACATAGGCCTAGATGTTTTGCACACCGCAGACGAGAATAGCTGATGAAAATGAACGACAGCATCTTTCCAGTCTCTTTTGCGCTCTCAGTCATGGGCACTCGATGAATAATAATTTTCGATTTAAAACTCAGTCTTTCCGGTAAACTTTTGTTAACTCGTTATTTCGTATCATGATACACAAGGGTTGTTATGGATTATATTGTTGCAACGAGCCCTCTGAATATTTTGTAGCAGCCGACGTTTTATGAATGAACTGTCAGCCGGTCACTCGATTCCATATGCCACGCGCTACGGCTTAGGCTACTGGCACGTGGCATTTAATGACCATGTGCTTGCTTGTTCAACCATATCTAAAGGGTAGGCATGACTTTAGTGACTCTCAGAGCAAATATCATTAATTGTAGTATTTGACAAAATCTAGTTTCAAATACTCGAATATTTTCTTACCACTCGGAAAACTTATTTAGTAATTTAGACCAAGCGAATTGAGACATGCATATCAGTTTCTTAGTCGTAACATCAGGAAAGAGAAAACAAATACATTGATGTGTACTGTACAGTTATACAGGTGCAAAAAAGTAAATACTTCGATGATTTCTTAACTGTAAACGGTATTTGAAAAAAAAAGTCCAAAAATTTGCACTGGTGTGGCAATGTAATCAAATTTTGTGTTGCCGAAAGGACCTTCTTTTGTGTTGAATTCGGAAACCTACCATCTGTCGTTCGTACATTCACTAAGATTGAATGAAGCTAGTAGATCCTACGGTGCTCTTTTGTTATTTCTATAGGCGATTGTCCCGTCCCATTTCAAATCTTTTATAAACTCTGTAAACTAAAGGGGTAATTTTATGGCGCAACGGCTGAATACGAACCCATCTGACAATTGATGTAAATTTATTTGAAAATTGTGTCGGGTCGGTACATATTTCAGTGAGTAGATGACCCAAGATAATCAAATATTTACAGCTTCTGTTCTCGTGTATGGGTAGTCCCTGGCTCGTGCCGCTAGAGCAGGGCACTCGCTGATTGGTCGAAGGGAACATCTGGAGGTGGTGTCCTGCCGCAGAATATTTATCGAGGTCATGTGCTAGTTGTCACATATGCGTTGCTGAGATCGGGACAGACAGTCTGTTGAATCAGCCACTGTAGTAGATCACATTCTTTTGTTTAGTTTTTCGTTAGGTTTTCCTTTTTTTCAGTTTTTGACAGATCTTTAACAAATGCAGGTATGTTTTAACAAATTTTATTGTTTACTCTCCGGAATTTTGTAATTTTTATCTCACGATTCAGTGTTTTCTTGTACATGTTCACTGTGCTGTATATTGAATATTCTTTTTGTTTGTTATAGATTTTCCTGAAAACGGCATAAACCCGATTTCAAAAATTGACGACCAACAAAGAAAAAGCATCATGATCTCCTTCAACAATATGATGGCTCTGCAACAGCAGCAGAAACTTGTTAGTATATTTTGCATTTCTCCATTACTGTTAGTCTTTGTTTATCACAAGAGGACAAAGAGATGTTTGACAGTTTGTCAGACACATACTGAATTTCATTATACTATAAGCATTTTTTAAGGATTTTAAACAAAATGTTTAGAAGTTTCATTTTGTGTTTAGTTATCTTAGTTTTATTCAGTTCGTATTTTTTGCCCAGTTTATGAAACATTTAATATCCTTCAACATAAGATAATACTAATATGATGGTGGTAAATATATGTAGATTATCAGTATTTCATTGAATATTGGGGGTTTTTTTTTACCAACAAAAAATGTCAGGTCAGTCAGGAAATATTTTCAGAATTTTGTTTTACTAGGGATGTGAAAATAAAGCAGGAATCTGTAGGCATAAATTCCTAGAAATTTTTTTAAAAATAACCAGGGTAGGTAAATAAATATAGAGTCAGTGAAGATAGCAGAAACTCTTTTTTTTTTTTTTTTTTTTTTTTTTTTAAATATGTCTTTCGGTGGATCTGCTTAAAGCATAGCTGCATGAGGTTATACAGTGCTACAATGTAAATTGAATCTCGTAAAAGGAGCGTTGTAGTGTGTGATCATGTTGAATTATATAGAAATTTCACGGATTATTTTACAATGTGCAATGTATTTGAATATCTGACATCATAGAATATACAGGAATGTATCTTTTGGAAAATTGGCCAGGATTTCAATTCCTGTCAGTATATCACAAGGATCTCGAAGGAAAGTAAATTTTCCACCAGCAGCTTATACTGTGTCTCATCAAAGTTGGATACCAGCAAATGTGCTTTGTATACATGTGTTATAAATAAAGAACCCACTAAAATTGCCTGGTAAAATCAGTAGATTTTTAATTGAACTTTAAAGCTTCAATTCTGGATATGGTGATTTAGAATAAGATGGGGTTTGTTAATGTGTGAGGAATTCATTGTGACACAATAGGAGTGGATCAGATGTATAGTTGATCAGCACAGACCTCTTTGCCAACAGATGTTCAAGCCTCCTTTCAACATGTTGTGGAATGATCTCATCTTTCAGTATTTGCTATTTAAGCTTTACAAGGTAGAGCAGAAACTGAAATGTAGTGATAAAGACCCAACAGACTGTAGTTTGCCAAGTAGCATATTACAGATATGTACTTGTGGGAGTGCTATTTTGTATTGGTGCCCTGACTTAATAGCTTATTACCCATGTTTTGCAAGTCACTAATCTTGATCATAGAAGTTCCTGGTGTGAGTTTTATCTTTTTCCAGGGATGGGAATACAGGAATTTGAAGGAATTAATATGTTGAAAGCAAGCATTTTTGTATAATTTTTTTTTTTAACTGTAAAGGAAAAAAAATCAAAAGTCATTGCCAATATCATTTTCATCAAGCAAATGATGATAGCTTTTCATTGGATAATTCTGAGTTTTTGCAGGAGTTTTCGATGTACCAGATACATTAGCAATTGCACATGTATGAATTGCATAATCTAGGTGATAGACAATAAACGTGAAATCATTGATATGGGAATTGGAGAACAACAAGAAGTAAACGAGAAAAAAATTTCAAATGAATTGATGCGAGAGAGATATTCAGTTTTTTTTTTATTACTCGCCAGATTACGCAGGCCTGTGAGATGAGTATGGACAACAATGCAGCTAACATTCAGATTCATCAAAATGGAGGAACAATTTCCCCATCATCCACAGGCTCCCAGATGGATGACAACATTAGCAAGACAAACCTTATTGTCAACTATTTGCCTCAGACAATGACTCAGGAAGAAATCAGGGCGTTATTTTCCAGTATTGGAGAAGTCGAAAGTTGCAAGTTGATCCGGGACAAACCCACAGGTCAGTTATTCAGTATTTTATAAAATATAGATTGTTATCATCCATTGTTAGAAATTTACAAGAAATATACATGATTGCTGTCACCTCTCTCCGTTTCAAGGGGGATATCAATTTTTTTTTTTTCTCGTACAGAAATTTCAACAAAGCTTTTTTTACTACTTTCAAAAGTCTGTCGATCCACTTAAGTCCACCGATTAAAACAGTTGAAAACAAACAGTCACTGACTTCTAGTTAAAGTATATAATTTAAGATTTTATTTGCATGTTGTCTCTGTAGCCTTTTTGGAGCATTCAGAAATATACCATTCAAAATATACAGAAAAGGACCCTATTTTTAAAATACCCTATGCAAACACCTTAATTATTACAGTTGATTTAATTTAATGAACTGTTACTTTAAGTGTGTGGTGGTAAATTGTTGGTTGCTATGCCTACATGATAGAAAAGCTTTGCATCATTGATAAAATTAGTGGTTTTCTGTAATAGAAAGTGCAGTACACCATAATATAAACACACGGTCACACCTGGCCAAGTCCCAACAGTGCCATTTTTACAGGAGTAGGCTAATTGTGTCTAGGCTATAATCACACACATTTACCATCTTATGACAGAAAATGAGGAAGACAAGGTCCCACAATGCCTGTAATGCTGTGCTTTATGTAGATAGGCACCCTGTATTACCTCCAGGCCACATGGAGTGCTGTTGTTATGGCAAGAATTCTGTACTAATTGCAACAGATGTTTAGACATCTTACATGGGTCATTCAGCATTCTGTGCTGTATATGCCACTATGGGTCTGGTAGCCTGCCTGTTATATGTTTTAATTGTGTACCCACAGCAAAATAGGCTAGAACAGTAACAACATAACATCTGACATAGTCAACACACTTGTCTCTAATGCCCTGATATTACCCACTATTAAACACATGTAATTACAAATTCTGCTCTATTAAGTGCTTCATGATGACTATCTAAATATATTAATAGTTAATATTAGTCACATTTCAGGATTTTTCTTTGATGATGCCTACATACATTACCCACCCCTCCCTCCAACTATTTATACATGTTATTGATATATTCACTTCCTCTTGGACTTGATCAAGTGTTGTGATTTAAATGAATATTCATATCTGAAGAAGTCCCGTTTTTTTCATCTTATGGACAAAATGAAATATTAATCTCAAGCTGAAGGATTCAAATCCTTAAAAAAAAAAGAAATAATTTTAAACTGGAGGATATAGTGTTGGGATTTAGATATTCATGGCTCTGTCTCTGTTTATATATATATAGGGAAAATGTATTTATTTTAAGCATAATGTGGTAGACAAGTCTCAGAACATTGCCGTTGTAAATGCCGATTGACCAAGTAGTGGGTTAGTGTGATGTACAGACAATAAGTATTGATCATAAAAAGGCTATGCTTTACAGAGCATTGATGCATTAAGTTCTAAACAAGAGTTGCTAAGGTGACTGCAAACACTAGGAGAAATCTATTATTGGGAAACATTCATAGAAGAATATTTAATATTGATGACTAGAGTACACAGCAGAGTTAATTCTATTGGAGCAGAAAGCAGGCTATTGATTTGGTGACATGATTTTATGGTTTTACTTTGTCAAAAGTATTTCCATGTAACTGTTGTATTATTTAGGGATGTTAACACTTACATACCTTTTAACTTCAATTCTGATGCAATAATGATATGCAAGTTTTATTTATCTGTTTTCTGAGCTTGAAGTAAAAAAGATGAAACCAAAGGTTCATTTAGTCCTTTCATCAGATACTGGTAGATTTTACTGTCAAATGTTGGAGTGTGAAATAGAAAGCATCTAAGACATTTTTCATAAATTATTCCAGAAAGTATATATTTATAATTAATTTTGTTCAGAGTTTGTTCATAGCTAATTACCTTAGTAAAGTTATATAACCTTACTGAGTCAGGAACAATAATTTTATTGCAGTCTCATGCTGTCTGGTAACAGCTGTGAGGCTAATTTAAAGACTTAGAATTAAAGCTTTAAAGATTTGAAGTGTGACTATAGTTGAAAGTGTGATTGTAGTTGAAAGTGTATGTGACTACATATTAATGTCAAAAAATAATTGAACTCTTTATTCAGTTAGAAAGTGATGCACATATATAAATGGTTATGTATATCTTTTTGTGCCCCAGAGATTGGAAAGTGGGGAGGGAGGGGCATAATGTATTTGGTTAGTCTGTCATCTTGTAGGCACTTAACTTTGGACACCTATCTTTTCAATGTTAAGAGATAATGCTAGGTATGATTCCCGAGGATAATACTTATCATTTGATCCCATATTTCATGAACTTGACCATTTACCCAGAGATTTTGACCTACCTATTTGTTTTAGGATTTCTGTTGGATAAATTGGGGTTTCCACCAGCAAAGAACCATGTTTAGTATACTTGCTTATCAATGAGATCTTTGAAGATTTTGATAAATGTCAAATATTTTTCAACATTTGTTAGAGTTATGGGACTTTAAAATCTTTGAATTAGATAACTTCTTCCTTTCCACGAAATAACTTTTATATTTTTCCCAGAAATTAATCAAATTTGGTATATTTCTCTGTATCTCAAATAAGTTTGATATTGGTCATAAGTTGCTAGAGCTATGGGACTTCAAATAAATTTTTGAAATAGATCATTTTTTGTTCCATCGAATAACTTCTAACTTTTACCATCATATTTAAAGGAAATTTGTGTCGGCCAATATCAATGACATCTCAAATGCAATTCAATAATGGCTATGCAAGAGCTTTGGGGCCACAATCTGTCGATATTTGCTGGACTTATTGGATTTTGTATAGATTGTCTGGATTACTTGCCAACTTTTGATGTGTTCACCCACATTTGGTATATATATTGCAAAACGGCCTTTCAGTTGAATGTTAGCTTAGCTCTCAGGAATGGGTCCTCTTCTGGAGCATTGTATTTCTTAAACAGACCTTTTTTTTAAATGCAAATCAGACTTAATAATCTTATAATGTATAATTGTAACCAAGTGATATTTGCTAGGTAAAAATTTCATTACAACTATTGTTTTTTTCAACATCAATTATGACTATAAATAAATTTAACTTGACATACCCAGGTACATGATATCGATTGCTCTGTTATCCATGGATGCAGAGATGGAGAGATAACATAAATTGGATGAATTACTTTATTATCAAACCTAGTTGGTAACAGATATTTTCTGTAATATGAGCAACAAACATTTATTAGAATTTAACTATTTGAGAATTTTGTTTAAAGTTCAAATTGGAGGTTTTATGTTGGTAAATCATGGTTCAGAAATATGTAAGTGATGATCATTGATGAAAATAAATTCAAATTTTTAAAAAATAGTAGTTCAACCATGATAAATTGCTTACCAGTCATATAATAGATTGGAAATGGTAAATGCCATAATAGAATATGTTCATTTTCTCATGGCAAACACAGACTATTTATAATAATCAATAATTGATTTCACATCTTCTTGTAGCAAGCAAAAGATATCACTGAAGTTAATAAATCTTTCATTATAATAGTATTCCAAGCTTAACTTGTGTTTTCTTTATTTGGTTTCCGTGTTTTCTCAGCAACATGAAGCTGGAATTTAAAAGAAAAAAAAAAATTGATAATTTATCATAAAAATGAATTTTAAAACATTTACTGACATTACCCTGTACCAATATGAGTGGATACATATAATCAGAAGTTAAACAGAGAAAAGAAACTGAACTGTTTGTTTTCATGAATGCTGTCCACAGATGGACACTTTCATGTTCTTGTCTTATATGCTAAACTTGTCCTTTTTAATTTCCAACAGGGCAAAGTTTAGGATATGGCTTTGTGAACTACAAGAATATCCAAGATGCTGATAAAGCGATAAACACACTCAATGGCTTGAGGCTTCAAAACAAGACCATCAAGGTAAGATTAGTATCCTACTAGCTTAGCCTTTGGGTAATGGTTCTTTTCATTTTTTACACATCTTTATTTAATTTCTGACATGCTAACCTTTGGAATGCAAGTCAGTACTGTATACAGGGATCTTCTTTTCGCATAATCAACATCTGTTACTCATTTTGGCTTAAGAGGAAGGATTTACTGTGAAAAACATTTTTGTTTGAATAGTTACTTTGTAATAAGCTAGTGTCGGTATTGAGCAATCCTTTGAAAACGTGTTGGATTTTTGTGTTAAAACCTGATTTATTTATCAATACCACAATTTCTGCAGTATGTTTAACTATGATACAGTCAAGAAGAGAACATGCATTAGACAAAAAGAAGGGGGGGGGGGAATTATTCCTTCCGTTTGAAGCTATACAAAAATAGTAATTGGCATTACATGTTTCCTTTGTTGAAATATTAATATTGATGTTCCTCCTTATAAGACGTTAATAATGTGATATTCTGTACAGGAAATCGTAATTTTCTTTGTACTCTTGTTGACTGGTATCCAACTTCTAAGTATGTAGATACTGATTTCATATGTACAAGATACGGTGCATTATAGTTTTGTTTCTCAGCCCCTGCATCTAATTTCCCCTTTGATGATTGTCATTACTAATGCCCAGAGTTAGCTCTGTGGATACCTCCAAGTCCAATTCACTACAAACAGTAGATCTGAATGTTCACTTGTATTCGTGCTTTTTCTTCCTTCTAAAATGTTTGCTTCACATGACCCATATGCACATAATATTTTGTTTGTATAGAATTTCCCTATTTGTTTAACCATGTCTATGCTGTAACAAATGTTCAAACATTTCTAACAACAATTGGATGATGCATGTGTGGAAATAAAAGGGGATGAGATGACTCAAAATTGTCAAGGGAGATGCTGTTGATGGATAAAATCCTGTGTCGTCATAACAAGGGATTTTTTGTTACTGTTGGAATATTTTATGGATGGCATGACAAGTTAAATGCATCTTGATGAGGTTACTGGGCTTTTGATGTGTCCAAGGCTTGGATAAGGGACTGACTGTACAGACCTCCCAGGCCACAAGTTGGTACAACTAGGCTTGACGAGTGTCTCGGTGTCATGGCAATGGTGATGGGGTGTGCATCTTGGCAAAAGCGTATTTTTATTCTTTCTAATAACAATTTGTTTGTTGTTGCTTTAATTTATCAGTTTCAGTTTCAGATTTTGTTTGACATAATTTTTTTTTTCAATCGCGAAAATGCCTTTTCACCGAGCCTGTTAGAAAGACTAAGTGTCCATGAAGTGGGTACAACTTCATGATGTTCAGAAGAAGGGGATCTAGACCACTTTTGGTTATGATCACAATCTCATTGTCATGGTCTACTTTTATTTCCATTGTTAGTCACAAAAAGAAAATGGATTGAAAATAGATCGTCTTTTAGAAAGAAACCATTGTTAAAAGAATCAACGGTTCATTTCACTAATTCATAATACTAGGACAAGACCTAAATCTTGAAAGGGTATGAGGGTAACATATCAAAGAAAATAATATTCAATCTTTGGGAAACATAAAATGATCCAGACATTTCCGAAAGACTATCGTTTATTAAGCTATTTACCTATTCGCTGGATATGTGCACTCTAAAGCAAGGTCCACAGGGATACATCACCATCAACACCAGTACAGTAATGGAACTACTCTACAGAACAATGCATTAGATGTAACAGATCTGGCTTCTTGTGTTATTCTTCACACAACATTTGTCCAACAATAGTAATGAGTAATCTGGACATGAAACATTGCCTCTTGCATTGTTCACTCATTTTTCAAATCATATAGTGTCGGTGTATGTCTGACATGGAAGAAATGAATAGATACAGAAAATACATTTGGGTTATTAAGAATATCTTATTCTACTATGGAGAAAGTTTATACGAGCAGCAAGAGCTACCTGTTTTGACTAGGATCTAGTGCTTTTTCTGGGGATTTGTGATGCCGAATATGGACCCAATTCCCCAACAGGATTTATTTCATAAAATGCCAATTTTCCAGCATATGTAGTTTATTCCTTAAAATTTCCTTCCAAACTGATAACTTTTCTCCCCAGAATTAGATCAGAAGGCTCTCTCCCAAGTGAATGAGAAAATGCTCAGCAGATACACATTTCAACAGTTCACTTTTAAAGTCTGACCTATATTCAAGTATTCTACACAGTCTAATAATGTCAGCCAAAACAAAACCAGATATATGCTACAACCTTACTGATCTGATTATCAAACAATGTAAAATTTACCACTACCCTGTCATACATCTTCTGTAGTGCTCCACCAAAAAAAACAGTGAGTGGTTATAAGCCAAATTGAAAAAGGGGTATTTCTCTTCTTGGATTCCTTGCATTTTTTTTTTTACACAAATTTATGAAGCAAATCTTTAGGAGTAAATTAGTAATTTCATTATAACACAAACTAAATAATTCTATTTGAAAATACAGTGCCCTTTGTTGATCACTAGGTATTCCCCTCATAAACCCAGCTAAACAACTAAAATTTGAAAATCAAACTGTAGGGAAGAAAGGTTGGACAGGAATGCTTCTAGACAAACAATATCCTAATACAGGAATCTAGATGCAACTACCAGGCACGGCAAGTTTAATGGGAAGATGTATAGAACCCGGAGATGTCTAACTCTGTGGTAGTGTGTGTGTAGAATAGTGTTTGGAAAACTCTGGTTACAACTAAAACGCTTACTTACACCAATTTTAGTTAATTAGATATTTCAAACATTTAGAATGTTATAATCATGTATAGATCATTGTAGTTTAATTCCAGTTTAAAGCCTGATAATACCAACATATTTAAAGCCAAAAAGTGATGAAGTTGATACATCTTTCACTGCATTGTGAGAAAATTCCTCTAGACAATGATATGGGAGGAAAAAAACCCTTGTATAGGATGGGAGGAATGACTTCGTCTTGGATAGCTGCGGTTAGATTATTACAGATGCATTTTGAACTTGTTCCAATAATGTTGGAAGCTGTAGTTCCACAGAGAGACAACCTATGTAACCTTCCTATGGCTTTTCGTTCTTCTGTATGACTCTCACTCAGTTTTGTGCCACAATGTAAACAGTGCTCCCAAAACATCATTCCATAAGTCATCCATCCCTCTTTTTTATTTCACTTTCACTCCATCCAATTTCCTGACGTCATAGCCAATATAACACAGCTTCGATTTAGCAGTGGACATTGGAGGATATATCATAAAATTTTATAAAAACAACATTTTAATCTTTTGTTTTACCTTTATTTGATTTGTGTTTTTCTTCATTTTGTTTTGTTAATTTATTTCTATTTCAAATTTATTTATTAATTTCAGGTTTCATTAGCTCGGCCCAGCAGTGAAAGTATTAAAGGGGCTAACTTGTACATAAGTGGTTTGCCAAAGTCTTTGACTCAATTGGACTTGGAGAAACTATTTTCAGACTGTGGACAAATCATTACTTCAAGAATTCTTTATGACCAAAATACAGGTATTAAGAACTTACTAGTGCTCATAAAAGTAGGTCTGAAGGGTAATGTTTCATTGAGGGAATTAGATATGAATACCTAAATGTAATGAAGCAATCCAATTCTTGTGTTAGTTACACCACTAACCTGAAACTGTACATGTGTTTTTATGTAGGTGTCTCTGGCAAGGCCAAGTAGTGAAAGCATAAAGGGCGCAAACTTGTATATATGTGGGTTACCAAAGTCTATGACCCAACAGGATTTGGAGTTGTTCTTTTCACAGTGTGGAAGGATCATAACCTCTAGAATCCTGTATGATAACAACACAGGTTAGATCATATACAATGATACAAAGTGTTGTTCGTTTGCATGTCCATATAGCAAGTTCAAAAATTTCCTATGCAGGGCTGATTTTGTATTTTTCAGTTTAATTTGTAGAGTTTTTCAATCTTTGTTTAATTATATTAACCTTGGCATTTATACTTTGCTTCATTTCTAATTCTCTACCATGATAACAATTCTCGTTTATTTTCTCAGCTTACATTAAGAACAATGCATTTATTGATGCATGCCTTGCTTTCAAACAGGAAGAGCAATTTATGCATTTTACAGTGTTTTCCAGTTCATGTATTACTACATTTGTATGATGAAGTATTTTCTTATCTTAATTATTTGCCTAAATATAGAATAAATTATATGCAAAAGCTGTTAAGGACATGAACATACATTTCTACATTTCATTCCAAAACTTGGAATGCTTCTTATAAAATTGTTTGAGAAGCTTGACAAATATTTTTGATAGTTTCTGCACACATATTTTGCATTTTCCAAAACGTATTCAGGAAATTTGTTTTAGTGTGTTTTTCTATATTCCAACTACAAAAGTATTGGGATACGGTACCTTTATCATGCTGGTCAGAGCATTACTATCGCTAGTGATAAGTTATCCAGGAATGTATGTACACCATTCTGGACAGCAAATTATGATCAGAAGCTGCTTCTGTTTGAAATCTGCACTATGTTTGATGGCTGTTTTAGGTCTTTAATTACTTACTGTACACATCTTTATCAAACAAGATATCATAAATAAACAACCTTACTATTAAATATATAAATTGTAATGATATGCCAAAATCTTAAGCAATAAACAATGATTTCGGGAATTCTGATATTAGGTAAGAATGAAAATATAGTATTTTTTCGGTCAATGCTATTTTAAATAGGATAAACGCTATAGGAATTTTTTTTTGTTTTTTTTTTTTTGCATCATTCTTATAATTTTGTCAACCCGTGGAGGCAGATAACCTGAACAAATTCCTTTCTTCTTCGAGCAGGTCTTTCCAAAGGGGTAGGTTTCATTAGGTTTGATCAGCGAATAGAAGCAGAGAGAGCAATACAGAAATTGAACGGGTCAATACCAGATGGAGCAGCGGAGCCCATTACAGTTAAATTTGCCAACTCTCCGAGTTCAAACAAAACGGCTGCACTTGCCCCAATAACACTGGCACCATATCTTCCCCAGACGCGGAGACTACCAGTATTAGGACCAATCCACCATCCCGCTAGCAGAATCAGGTACACCATCTGACCCTTCATTTTCAGGAATTTTTATGTCTTTTTTGTAGCATTGGTGTCAGGTTGGCGTCATCATTTCAACTTGTCTTGAGTTTATAAAATCTTTTATCATGTCATAGATTTGATAGAAACATGTAAAGGCACTTTAAAAAATTTGTTCATTCTTGTTATCAGGAGAGGAAAAGTACATTTTCTGAATGTATATAAATATTTTGAATTTAAGGTATATTGTACCAGATTGCCAGGATATATTGTATATTATTTTGATGTTTTAACAGCACAGCTTAAAGGATTCTGTCAAACATCCAATTTGCTTGTTGGAAAACATTTAGCTTGATGTCAGATTTTGCAGATAAGTGATGGAGTGTGTGGTGGATTGATAATGTATTGTTGTCTGTTGACAGGTACTCTCCATTGGACAGCCTGATTCCTTCAGCCGCTGCCACAACAGTTTCTACAGCTGCTGCTGGAAATGCTCTCAGCGGTGCTGGCTGGTGTATATTTGTGTACAACTTAGCACCAGAAACAGAGGACAGTACATTGTGGCAATTATTTGGGCCATTTGGAGCAGTACAGAATGTGAAGGTCATCCGTGACTTCCAAACACAAAAATGCAAAGGGTTTGGCTTCGTTACCATGACACAGTATGAAGAGGCGCTTATTGCCATTCAGAGTTTAAACGGGTTCGCACTGGGCAATCGCATCCTCCAAGTCTCCTTCAAAACCAACAGCAAAGGGAAGCCCTAAGGTTACTCAGGTGAAGTTCAAACTAGGAACCATCTAGTCATTTCTTACAAGTGCACTGCCATGCTGTTATTCAGTATAGGTAGACTGTTCAGATTATACAAAGATGCCAAATCCAATATTGTATGTCTTTGTTATGGTTTTCATTGGAAAACTTTTGAATCTCTGTTTAATTAACCAAAAATGGAAATTAAGTTTTCATTCTCTTTTGATTGAAATCCAAATGTCTTCAAATGAAGCAGAATGTATTTATTTCTTTTCTTTTTTTTTCTTTTTTGGTATATAATCTATTGGTTCAAATGATTTTATTTAGAGTGTATTTATCATAAATAAATTATCGATCCATTTCTTGTTTTATTGAATCAATAATATGTATTTTATTGTCTGTTTTAACTTAATATTTGTGGAGTTTTGTCTGATTAATCTTATTTATTATTGTCTGGTATTATGCTTATTTTAGATTAGTTGGCCCTAGGCCTGTTCACATAAAACCAATGTTGATATATTTTGATGTACCTGTGAATGTATATGGTGTTTAGTTTATTTGGCCCTTTGTATTTGGGTCATTTTTATTGTGTTCTCGTATTTGTTCTGTTGCCTTTTTTATTTGCTCATTGGAGTGTTTCTGTAGTCAATATGTACAGCTGCTTGTCATTCTTTTACTGTATTTGTAGTTCTTTTCAGTTTTGGATTTCTCTTGTTTATTTCTCTTTTCTTTTTTTAATGAGAAATTTCTCTACACTCATTGTCAGATAGATTTTATTATTAATTGGCACTTCAGCCATGATCTTGTGTAAAAGAACAATTCATTTAAAGGTAAGGTGGAGCATACAGAACAATATTGTTTGTCGTCTGATAAAAGGAACAAAACCAAATATTTTTAGCATATTGTCTTTACAATATATTTGAATTTATTAGAATTTTTACATCTAGATATTAAACAACTATACCTCCTCAACCTTAGGCTTAAGATCCTTGTGTGCACGAAGTCTGAATTTTTTTCAACATAGTTGAAATATTTTGTGATTTGTGCCCATTATAGATTCATTTCCTTCTCCTTAAGAGCATGAGTGTACAGAGATTTTTTCAAGATTCAGGACCCTGAATCAATCATTCATAACTTTTGTTTGTCTCGATTCTGTTACTGGGAGTATATATGATTTGATCGTTTGATTCTTGATTTCTGTTTCATTTTATTTTTACACCACAAAGAAATAACAGGTAGGTCATGTTATTTCTTGTTTATGGATCACAAAATTAAACACCACATCATTTTACTGACTTAGAATTTTATTTCGTGGAACATTTGCTTCATTTGATAGCAACGTTTTGTAAGTTTGTTAACAACTATACTTGAATGATATCTGCTGAGAGCCAAAACATGGCTTCAACCAAAATCAGAAAACCATGCATTGATGCCAAATTGATCTTCCAATTATTTTGTAAAGCACAGAGCAGGGAGGGTTTTGTCATGGTCACAATAATAATATATGTACATACTGTTAGTCTTGGCGATAGTATACAGATAAAATACAGTGAGAGTTATCATTAAGCCACTTGTATTCTATCTGCATATGAAACTTTATCAAGCGGGATGATTCTCTTCATCCTGGGATCATGTGATATTATTAATTAAACATTGATACAGTTCGATACATTCCCACTACAATTATGACTGAAATTTCATAAACATTGAGAATTCCTTGACCAATAATTAACTGGCTCAACTACCCCTGGTGTATATATTAAAACCTGTTGGGGCTTTTAGATATAACTGTTTTAACACATTTGTATAAGGGAACAATGCTTTTGAATATAGCAAGACATGCCGCATTTTGTGATGACACGAGTTTCAGATTTGTAAGGCTTTTTTATATCTTAAAAAGTTGACATTTAGATATATGTTTGGAGACTTTATAACTCTTTTATTGGGAGAGTACACATTTTGGCTGTTTGTTTGTATGTCCGAGATTCTTTATATAGTGGTGTAAGTTGATAGTATATCTTTTATAAAACTTTCAAGACAAAAATGCCATTGTGTATTACTGATGGACTTCCAAAACTTGTATTCAAGCAATTGAATGTTTACTGAAATATGCAAATTTATACATCAGCTCTCTTTCTTTAGTATACAGTCTTTGTCTAGAAATTGTGGTGTCCAAGAATCTTATTTATATTGCATTTTAATCCAGCAATATAAAGTTCTGTTGAGAATTGTTTTATACGTAAGTGTATGCTGCGACGTGCAGCCAAGCTGTGGTAATCCTTGTGCCAAGCACAGTGTTGGATTGAAAACAGGAATGAGATACGTAATACTCCCATTTGTATATTTGTTGCAATAATGACTTGTTTTTTGACAACAAAAGTTATGTATGCTTGACGTTTAAAACATTGAATATTATATCCCACCTTCAAAGTCATTGTCTTATTTGGTGAACTTTTTTTCTCTCGATTTTACATTTAAGTGTTTCACATTTCTTATCTTTGACATTGAGATTTCTTGTTCACGTGTTTCTTGTTTGAAAATAGATTCTTCTTTAATCAAGTTATTGAATTATGATTCATTCCATTTTTGGGGTCAGCCTTTTGGTAGTGTCGCTGTTAAAATTGTTCATGTTAGACTGGCGTTACTAAGTGGTCTCTTCTCCTCAACTGATGATTAAGGTGTTTTCAGAGCAGAAAACTTTATTTTACATTTTTCTTGCATTTACTTGGGTAGATTTTTTTTCAGTTTTTTATCAGGAAGGACTGCTGAAATTAGTACATTTCAAACGAACATTTTTTTTATCATGCTTCAGTTTCTTATCATTCTGTTTCCTCTTCTTGGTAAATAGGCATGTTACAGATTTTTAATCATGATAATAGTGCTAACATTGTTATGTTACATATGTCATTATAAGATTAATGATATTATCAAAACGAATTAACTTTTCAATGTAAACAATGCATGACAAAATTTGAGCAGATTCTGCAAGATTTGTTACATGCAAAAAAGGGAAAAAATGTTAAACATGGTATTATCCAGGAAAAAACAAACCAACAGACCTAGTGACAATGAGGGAAAGGAAATGATATGGTTCATGACTGGAGAAAAACTCCGTATTTGATCAACTTTGATGGCGGGTTTTCTGAAGCTGTCAATTTAGATCATATTTATTGATGATTTATAGAGATGTATCTCATAAAGATGTAAAGAGAATTCTCCACGGCTGGTTTGTTATTTAATTGGTCACTGTTATCATTTGGATATTCAAGGATACTAATAAAAACAAGACATGCTTTATAAAATTCTATAGCATTAAATGCTTAAGAACATAATAAATTTGAGGGTATTTATAGAAAGATGATTAATTTTCTATCTCATCAAATGAGAGGTTGAGTTGATTTTTCCGAGATTTTAACCAGAATGATTTTTTTATTATTACTTATGAATTGAAAGATTTTTTCTCTCTCTCTCTCTAAGGGTCAACTTTTGATGGCTTGCTTGTGAGTGTTCTTACTAAGTGTGGAGTCATAGATTTAAAAGTGAAAGGCTCTAGTTGGGATATTAGCCAGGGCTTCAGTAGGAAGTATTTATATCAAAGTTGAATAAAGAGTTTTTTCTACTGCCTGCAAGTTAGGCCCAGATTAAATTATTAATGCATTTTGATGACTGCTGAAGCTTAATCTCTCAACAAGTCCTATCACACAAAATGGCATCATGGAAAATAACGGCGTTTCGAAGAAACCGTTATGTATAAAAGGAGAAATTCTTTTGACCACATGAACTTTTTTTAGATTTTAGTTTATCTTTTTAACTCCAATTTGGCTGACCCATTTATTGCAATATTTTAACTCATTAAATACTAGTTATGATTACATTGCTTACGAGTGTGCTTATTAAACATACTGCTTTTGTATTGGTTAGTCTCGTCTTTACGTTAATTATTATGAGAATCAAATTGTAGTAAACATTATACAATTCGCCATTGTGATCGCCCACAGCAGGCTGGCTGTCCATGTTCAATTGTAGTTTTGGTTGTAACGGCAGTAATGAGTATTTGTACTTTTTATTACATGTGAAAACTAATAAAATCTGTTGCATATTAGTGTATTGCTGTGGTAATCTGTTCTTCTCAGAAGTGATTCAAAACACGTACTTAATATTGATGATGCTTATTGGAAGTTATTACTGGGAGCTCTCACTTATGGATGTTTTTTCCTTCCCGGAAGTGGATGAAAATGCGATCAGATCAATATTAATGATGATGCTATATTAGGGAAATGTCATTAAGCAAATTGACTCGACGTGTATATGGTAGGGAATTGGTCTCCCTACTAGTAATTGTTGGAACACCTGTGGAGATATTGTTACGGGGACAGTAACTTGCAATGTAAAAGGTCGCCTCGTCCACCATTGTCACTATACCACAAGGCTACAGAGGACCTGTCCATCACGAGATTATACTTATTATATATTGTTGATGTTTTGCCGTTGGTACCGTCACCATCGATATTTACAGGTTTCAATCTCTGTAAATGAAATATTCCTCACAGGTTGATTATTTACTATCCTCGGCATATCCACTGTCCATCCATCAAGGGTCAAACATCGTCGAGTAGAGCTGTACTTCGATTGCTTTCGTCGTTTCTTGAAACTGCGTCAACTTTGAGAAATTTCGAAGCCGATTGACATTCACACGATAAGAGAAGTATTTTCGAAATCAAATGAGTGACGTTAATATATACATAGGTCCCTGTCCGGACATGTACTGATTAGACGCCCAAGTATAAATGGGTGTGAAAGTATACCATCAATTGTTGGCAAAGACCTGTTTCATTAACGTCGAGCACTGAACATTCACTTTAATAAATCAATGTCTTGCTTCTTATTCTGTATTTCAGAGATAAATACTCTGAACTGGTGATTGGTACAAAACATCCATCATACTAATAGACTTTTGTGCCTTGTATATAGGACAGTGATGGAACGATCGCCATGCTCCTCAACAAATGGCATGCTTCGGGGAGCGAACTCGGAGCAGGAGAGATGTGTCCAGTATTACAACTGATTCTAAGCTAGTTCGAAAATATCGGTACCAACTGCCATGGTCACTGACCATAT